GTCATTATATTTTAGTCTTATTTAGTGCAAATTTCACATCTTTTAATGCCATATTAATTTAATTGAACATTAATTATTTTTGTATATAGTAAAAAACATTCTAATTCTAATAAAAAATGTGCTTCATTTTAAAATTAATATTTTCCATTTTAAAATTATTACTTTCCATTTTAAAATTATTACTTTCCATTAATAGCTTTGAAAAAATTGTAACATTTGTGTCACAAAAATTATTATCTTTCAATAATAACTATCTAAAATAGTAAAAGTGGGTACGATAACATTTATGTGTAATAAGTTAGTTTTAATTAGCGTTCTTAATTGATATATTTATGATATAATATTAGTTGTTATTAATGCATTCTGGAGGCTGAACCAATAAATTGGATTACAAAAGTATGTAAAAATTAATGTTAAGTTCTAAGATGATAATTTTTTGCATTTTTTATATAAATAAGGCATGTCTTATTTTAAAAACGGATTAAAAGTAATGTATGCAGAATTTAAACACAATTACGGAGTGATATCTAATATTATTATTTAATAGTAACCGCCATTGTTTAATTAACATTATACCATAAAAATTCTGACTTTTAACACAATAGGAATATGTTTGTTTAAGCACATTTATTAGAAACGTAAAAACATGGATTTTTGAAACATGCTTGTTTGATAGATTGATGTCACATAAAAGTCCGAAGCTTGAATTTTGATGTGTGTTTATTGAAAAAATATCTTCTTCAGTGCTCTTTTTAAAGCACTTGTAATGGTGAAATGAATAAAAGAATAGAAAAAATTATTCTTTTATGAATAAAGAATAAACGAATTTAACAGCAAGTCACAATCAATTTTATATCTCACATTCCTTTTAAAATTTGTATACATTCATCAAAGATTTGGGCAATTTTTATATACATACCTCACAAAACTTCAACATCTCGGAGCACGACCTATGTAGCAACAAACATGAAACGGTCTCAAATATTACAAATGTTGAACTATCAAATGCATCGTTCACTTTAGCCTTAATTCATACCTGCATATATTAATTATTTTAATAAATATTAATTATTTTAATAAGTCACTTTCAAAGAATTCATATAATTTAACTTTTTGTGTAAAAACATACAAATTTAAGGCTAGTCTATACAACTCTAATAGCATACTCCGTATTATTTAAAGGAGAGATCCACCTGGTATACTCAGATTTGCCTCTTTAGACAACTATTGTTATAAGGAAGATTGCTTCTTAATGTTTGGAAATATCTGCCTCTACTATTACAGGGAAGATTGTCTCATATTGCCTTTATTTTTTTAGATTTGTCTCTTCATGTTTGGAAATATTTTTTCCAATATAGAATAATGCCTCAGATTAATCAAAATTTATAAATAACACCTGGTATACTAAGTCTATTTAGAAACAATGCCTCAGATTGGCCTCTTTAGACAACTATTGTTACAGGGTGTATACACTTAGGGGCTATTTGACAACTTCTGAATAGGTAAGTGCTGAACCAGTAAGAGATCTGAACCATTAAGTGCTGAACCAGTAAGAGGTCTGAACCATTAAGAGCTAGTATATTGCTTAACTATTCAGAGGCAAATGTCTGATCAATTCAGATAAGAGGTCTTAACCATTCAGACTCTGTATAATACTTAACCATTCAGAGGCAAATCTCTTAATCATTCAAACATCTGAACTATTAAGAGGTTGAAACAAACAGTAAGAACCATTAAGTGCTGAACCATTAAGAGGCTGAAACAAACAGCCCCTTATTGTTTTTTTAGTTGATGCAGTCCACTAAAAAAATTATTTTAGTATATAAAGGAAAATCGAGTTGGTATAGTTTAATACTAAATTAAAAAAGGCTTTTGAAACTATCCAGAAACTATGATTGCATTTTACTTCTGATTAATAAATGGAAGTAAGAATTGCCCAACTCAGAATTTATATGGGCTAACCCAGTACTTGAGCAACTACTTCCTTCCTTTGAAATTCCATTATTCAATTTTTGACAAAATGAAAGGCAGTAGTTTCAATGGAAATCCCATTTCTTCAAGTTTCGAAACTGGAAGGCAGTAGTTTCAAACTAAAACTCTCCAGCATTTACTTGTTGGATTGATTTTCAACAAAAGGTGAATGGGTTTGGAAGACATGTCAATTGCTCAAAGATATTAGGAATGAGCACGTCTTATAAACCAAGAATAGAAATTGATTTATAGATGACCTCAGGCGAAAAATTTATATAGGAAACAGACCTCAGACGAAGAAATTATCAGACCATTCAAACAAAGCATTCATAGAGGGATCAGACCATTCAGGCGAAGAAATTTATAAAGTACTCAGAGCAGTCAAACGAAGAATCTCAATGTTTCGACTTGGGCAAGAGGTTGATGTCGAAGGCTGGAAATCCGTTAAACTCGCCAGGAAAGGAAAGAAAGTCGGAGAAGGAAAACACATCTCCATATCCAATAATTTCAAGGAAATTTCACTGGTCTCGGTTTCGTTTGTGAAGGAAACTTACCGTAATTGTGATCTTTCTCCATATCGTATAATTTACTTGAAATTTCGCAGGCAGTGAGTGGGTGATGAAGTATCGACAGCCAGATCCCTAAAATTTCGAATGATATTATCTCGAGATCCCCAAAGGAGCGGCGATGATGATATCTCCAGATCCGGATTGTGTGGGTGAGCCTCTCGTTATTTCATCTAGATCTGCAGATATGGATCGGGTCATCTAGATCCGCCTATTCCCACTTTTGATGACATGAGTGATTAGGTGTCAAAAAATAATCCAATCATCCCGCCAAATGTCGCAATTCTGAGAGTTGAACTCTCAAATATAATATATAAAGGATAAAGGATTTATCGAGTTTGACTCTTTCTAATAATTTTCTACAAAATAAATGTAATGAAATCATTTTTAATTTGTATAAGTATCCATGACCATTGTTATTTAAATGATAATTAAAGTATGTTTAGTTGGACTAAAACATCAAATTAGATAAATACTTTAGAAAAAAGTAATGCATCAAATGACCTCTAAACAAAGGTGACATGACATCAGAAAGACTTCATTCCTGATTAGGTTTTAAGTACAACAACCATAATAACCCACTAAAATAAAGTTAATACTCGTTTTTGTCTCTGTATAACCACTCATGAATCAATTTAGTCTTTGTATGTTTGGTTAAATCAAATTAGTCCATATAACTAGAAAATGTGAATCAAATTAACCTTTAATGCAACATTTATATAATAAAATTCTAAGTTAGCACGCCACTTGACACACAAACTAATACACTAAGTCATTGTTCTAGTGTCAATTAACATGATAATTCCAATTTTTAACAGATAAATTTCATTCGAATGACTAATTTCATTCAGATTTTCTACTTAAAATCACTATTTTGACTTAACAAAACTTATAGGAACCAAATTGAGTCTTGATTGACTAAAATAAGTATAAACTCTACTAAAATTTAACAGGTTATTAGCATTTTATATCATAGTAAAAAAAGACTTTATTTGGAAACTACGTTTTCTATTATAGTTAATGTTTTTTTATAAAATTTAGGGCCTGTTAGAGAATAACGTTTTCGATTAGCGTTAGCGTTTTGGATAAAACGTTAACGATACAGATTACTTTTGAAAACATTAATGCTAAACGTTATCCATTGATAGCTTTTTCAAACTGCTAATACTAACCTATAATATTATTTTCAAAAAGGTCCTTAATGATTTAGATTTAATTTTGAAAATATGAACATTAAAGGATAGCATTTGATGATATTTTTAAAGTGTTAGGGGCTGTTTGTTTCAGCCTCTTAATGGTTCAGATGTTTGAATGGTTCAGTACTTAATGGTTCAAACTGTTTGTTTCAGCCTCTTAATGGTTCAGATGTCTGAATGATTAAGAGATTTGCCTCTGAATGGTTAAGTATTATACAGAGTCTGAATGGCTAAGACCTCTTATCTGAATTGATCAGACGTTTGTCTCTGAATAGTTAAACAATATACTAGCTCTTAATGGTTAAGACCTCTTACTGGTTCAGCACTTAATGGTTCAGACCTCTTACTGGTTCAACACTTACCTATTCAGAAGTTGCCAAACAGCTCCTTAGTGTGACTTTGTTTGCAAATGGAGCCTAAATTGCAAACGTACTCCGTAGACCGTAACGGAAGAGGCAATTAAAGCCAATGGAGGGGACACTTGTCGTACAACCACAATGCACCCTTCCCATGACATGAAATTTTGTAGAGTAGTTTTTTTTCTACAGAGCATTGTTTTATTTACAGAGGCTACCACGATAACTTTGTTTGTTTATTCGTTTTAGTTGATTATTTAATAAAATAAAATATTTTTGTCGTATCTCGTTTTGCAGAATTTTTTTATCTATTTTTGAGCGGCGTAATTTTTACTTTTTCTTTCTCTATCAATTTATAAATAAAATGATTTTAAAAAAGATTTATTTTGCACACCATTCAAAATGTTGCTTAGATTTTGGGACGGAAGGAATATAATATTAATGGTGCAAATTAACATGAAAAATACGAAAACTAAAAACAAAATTAGATAACGTTTTCAAAACATTAAAGCTAAATAGTGAAACTCATACCAAATATAATCAACCAATTTTAGACTCATGCTCATGTACTTTTTCGACAAAGTGTAAGAAAAGATAACATTCGGATTTGATTCTGAATAAAGTATGATCATGCCATTCATGTGTAGCATGAGTTCCTTACCTGTACTATGTACAAATCTAAATCTTAAATGAGAATGCGATCTAATGAAAAAAATAAAAATGCATCTCGTGCATTAGATGTAAGATCTTAGGGCTTGAAAAATTCAAAAAATTGAAAAAATCTGAAAAAAATACAGTGGCATTATGGTAAATAAGTTAAACTTTAGTCCCACTGCAGAAAATGTGCTACCACAATATCAAAATGCATTGTAACGGTATAAAAATGCATCATTCTCACGATAAGGTCTATTCTCGCAGTAAAGATCATTCTAATTTCAGCCAACCCTCTAAATCCTTATTATTAATGAATACAAAATTAACACTTAATTTGTCTCTTGGAACCTAGAATGGGGTTGATTTTCATCCTTCTTCAATTAAACTAAAACTAAGTGAAATGCTAAAACTGATATTAAAACAAGATTAAAGAAGAGAATGGATAAATATAGAGATATAATAGTCTGATACTGTAACACCGCCGCGCAATCTTTTCCATTCCATCTGGTAAATTGATAGGAGAAATATTAGCCTTTCTTAATATTATTATCCCCATGCCTTTCTCATTGCCACTATTAAACCCTCTTTCAGATTTCTTAACCCTCTCCAATGGCGGCTGACTCTCAACAGCCCACCATTACGAAGGTGAAGATGAAATTGGCCGATTCGAATAGCCGAAAACTACTCCAAGGAGAAAAAGTTGAGGTAACTTCTTTTCCTATTCTTTTATTGGGTGTTTGTGTGTAAGTTAATGTACACTTCTTCGTGAGTAGTAATGGCATGAGTTCATTATTTCTGGGTTTTTTTAATCCAACATTTTTTTGTCCGGTGATTTTGTCCCGCATTTGTTTTTCTTTAATGCTGTGCTTGGCACTTGTATCTGTAATGGGGATTGATGTGTTGGCTCTGCTGGTTGCATGTGGTTTTTCTTGAGTGTTTGTTCAATTATGGGCATTGAATTTGAGGGTTTGAAGCTCAATTTTGATTTCAGTCTCAGTTTGGTTTCTGGGTTTTGGTTTACTGTACATGCAAGTCATAATTTGGGTTGTCAATGTGGGAAAGAGATCTATTGATGCCTTCAAAAGAAGTTTCCTGTTTAAGCTATTGTTCAATTTAGTGGTTTCTGTATATATATCACTGAGGTAACTTAGTGCTGGGTTCCATTTAATTTATTCCATTTTTGCTCTCCATTTCAAGAATGAAGAATCTAAGACCCTTCATTAAAAACACAGAACATTAGACCTTACCTAGGATTATGTGGCTATTGCAGGTGAGGAATACTGAAGATGGGTTCTTGGGCTCGTGGCACACTGGGACCGTGCTTAAGCGGGGAAGATTAATGTGTCATGTAAAGTATGATCACCTTCTATGTGAGAATGGATCGACCAACTTGGTTGAACTGGTGAAAGTTAGTTCCATGATTGATGAGGTTGTGCCTGCTGAGTGGGACCCTGATAATTATCGCGGTGTGATTAGGCCTTCTCCACCTACACTTGACATTGTGGACAGGACTCTTCACTATGGAGAATGTGTCGATTTGTTTTACCAGGATGCATGGTGGGAAGGTGTGATTTTTGACCGTGATGATGATTTGGAGAACCGGAGGGTGTTCTTTCCGGATATGGGTGACGAAATGACAGTGTGTGTCAAAAACCTGAGGATCACACAGGATTGGAATGAGGTTACGGAAGAATGGAAGCCTCGTGGCAATTGGATATTCCTTGAAATTGTTGATGAAATGGGGAAGAAGCTACCCCTTCTAGTGTCTGTAAAGCAAATCTGGTATGAAGTACGGGAGAAGAACAGGTTTAAGGATTGGACAATTTCTGTAAGGGATTTTTGGAGGGGATCGATATCTGTAGTTCTATTTGATAATTTGAAGCTGACCATCACTCAGTTTCTAAGTTTATTGAACTCTGCACAAGGGTTTCTTCAGGATGGGCAATCACTTGAGTTTTCTCAACTTCCTCTTAATGATATATTGGAATCTGTAGAATTTATTGATAACCTTCTTGCCCTGGACCGTACTGAGGTGCTTCCTAACAGCTTCAATTTATCCAGGATCCAAAAAACTCTCGACGAGGAAATCGTCCCAATGGATATTGCTCCGACCATAGATGTAGTCAGTACCAGTGATAAGAATTTGGAATTCCTGGTCACACAAAGCATTGATGAAATGCTATTAGATGGTCATGAAGAACTTCATTGTAGAAGCTCCAAACTGTCTATCGAGGATATTAAATGCTCACAAAACAAAACCAGACTGAAGTGGTCTGCTATTGAGCTTGAAGCACAGTCTTTTCCTGAAGCACTTGAAGAATCCGTAAGGGCAGGTTATCGAGCTCCGCATGATATGGTGGTGAAGTTAAGAAAACATCTTTTACATTTGGGATGGAAGATTGAGTATGCAATTGATTACCAGAGGAACCGGTCAATGACTAGGTTCAGGTACTTTCCACCTTCTGGACCTGTATTCATGTCACTTGTAAAAATTCGTGAGTACTTGCACACACAATCCGTACATAACCAAAGAACCAAACGGGAGTGGTCTCCCATTCCCCTTGAACCCAAGCTTTTCCCAAAAGCAGTGGAAGAATACAAAAGATTGATTCAGTTGAATATTCGACCTCATAAAGGTTTACATGCTCAAGTAAGGAGACATCTTTTGTGTATGGGATGGAAAGTTGAGTATGCAGTTGATACGCATAGGGTTCGGTATGTTTCACCCTGTGGAACTTTAGTGCAGTCACTTGTACAAATTTTAAAGGGTCTGGACACTCTGTCTGTGGTACCCCTTCACCACCAAACAAGTGGAGATGACTCTCAGACTTCTATGGATGAAAATATTGTTTCTGAGTATAATCCTCAGGCAGTGATTGACTATGTATCCAATTGGTCTGTGGACACACAACCCAAAAGTAAACAGAAAAATGTTGCAAAGATTGCAAATGAAGCTAAACAACATCTAAGTTATAGTGGATGGAAAATGTCTTATGAGTGGAAAGGAGATAAGAAAAAGGTTCAATATATGTCCCCTTATGGAAAGATATGCTACTCACTTGTAACAGCCTGCAAACGGTATCTTGTGGAGAATGCATGGTCTAACAGTGATGCTTCTTATCTCACTGGGAAAAGCGAGTTTGCACATGATGACATGGAGCATGTTCAGCCAGGTCATAGTGCAGCGAGCAAGAAAAGGAAGTTTATGGCTTTAAATAGGGCTGGAGATGCTGTTGCAAGTTCTCAAACATCAACTCGTGTGCTAAGATCGTATAAAAGAGCTAGGCAGGTGGGTCCAACTTCTCACCAAACTCCTCGCAGTGTTTTATCTTGGTTGATAGACAATAATGTGGTTCTACCTCGAACAAAAGTGCATTATCGTGAAAGGGATGATAGTCATCCAAAGAGGGTGGGGCGAATTAGTTGTTATGGAATCAAATGTAATTGCTGTCAGGAAATTTATGGACTTAGTAATTTTGGAGCTCATGCAGGAAGCACCGATCACAGTCCTTCAAAAAATATCTTTTTGGAAGATGGAAGGTCAATACTAGAGTGCCAACTTGAGATGAAACGTAAAATTTATGCAAAGAAGAAAGAACCTCGTTTAAAGAAAGTGAGTCACAATATCAGAACAAATGACTATATATGCTCCATCTGTCATGACGGTGGTGAACTAATCCTATGTGATATGTGTCCATCATCCTTTCATCCCGGATGCCTTGGCATGATGGTATTTATCTCTCTATAACTGCTATTTAATGCTTTTGCTTTTATTTGTGTTATCTTATTTTATCACATCTATAGTTGATGAGAAAATCAAAAGGGTAGAGTGAAACAATGTCCATTTTCAATAAAATTTGATTTTCTTAATCAGGAGCTTCCAGATGGTGATTGGTTCTGCCCGTTTTGCTGCTGTGGAATTTGTGGTCATAGCAATGATTTATTTGCGGCTAATAATGCGGTCAACTGTTCTCAATGCGAGAATCAATGTAAGCAAATCTGTCTTTTCTGCAGTTTAACTTTTTTGTCTTTAGAGTAAAGTATGCATATACTGGTATATGCATGCACACAAGCACACATGTAAATAAGATTTTTTTTTTGGTTTTTTTTACACAAATGACCATGCAATGGTTTTTCGCAGATCATGTTGGCTGCATAATAAGTAATGGGCTTCCAAAGCCTGGCAGCTATCCTGAAGGATATTGGTTTTGTAATAAAAAATGCGAGCAGGTATGATGAAGCAAGTGCTTCATGCATCATGGTACAAACATCGGCATATGGTGCACAGTAAAATACTGATGTGCAACTTAAAAATCTGTCGTGGATATTTATACTCTTTTCTTTCCAAAAAAGAATTTCATGTTAGACCACTTTCTTTACTCATTTTCTATGCTCATTTGATAAAATCATAGTTTTGTCATTGTGTTTTTTATAACTCTTGATAGTTGATATCATTTTTAAATACAGATTATATAAACTCTATATTTTAAGTTTTTGACATTTTCAAATAAATTTATTGAAAATAACCTGAAGAGCCTTTGTGGGACGGAGTGAGTAGTACATTTAGAGTAAGTGTCGAATCAAGAAGAGATGGCTGCTTGATTCTTTCATAAGTTAACACAGTATTAGTTTGTCAATACATTGTAAAAGTGATATGTATTTATTATGTTGTTTTAGACTGATATTTGGTTTAAATTCTTTGCAGATATTTTTTGGTCTTCATAAGCTTTTAGGAAAACCAATTTGTTTGGGGACTGATAAACTCTCTTGGACATTGTTAAAATACCCAAAACCAGGCAATTTTTCTCACAATGTTCCAGACGACGAGCTTGCAATTGAGAGTTATAGCAAGCTCAGTGTTGCCCTTGGTGTAATGCATGAATGTTTTGAGCCTATCAAAGAATCTCGAACTGGGAGAGATCTCATGGAAGATATTGTTTTTAATAGATGGTGAGCTTTAGCCTTTATGTTGTCTGTGAAAAATCTGCAAGGTGCATCATGTTATCAAGCCATGCATATATAATTAATTTATTACCTAAACCGAAAGTAGATTTTCTCTTTTAATTTCAATGATGTATTCATGTTGTATTATATCTTTACCCGATAGATTCTCTTTCTTATTTTGGGATTTTCTCTTTTAATTTTAAACTCTTGTTTGTCACTTATATTCAACGGAAATTGTTTTGAACTCCTTGTTTATTTGCAAACATCTCTTTCAGGTCTGAACTCGGCCGTTTAAACTTTCGAGGGTTCTATACTGTGCTTTTGGAAAGAAATGATGAACTCATTACGGTGGCAACTGTAAGGTAATTTGTGATCAGGATTCAAAAATGATGTTAAGCCTTATAAATCTTGCCGCTCTCTATCATCCCCTTCCCATCATGGAAACTTCCACCCATGTTCTTTTTCACACCCATGTTGACTATTCCCTCCATTCTATATTAACTGTCTATTAACACTTTCTTGATACATTGAAAAATGGATGAATGTAGACATAGAATATGTCTACATTCATTCATTCTTCAATGTATCAAGAAAGTGTTATTAGACACTTCATATGGAGTGGAGGGAGTATGACTAAATCTTCCATTACTTTTGGAGGTTGCACGGTTGAGTATGGAACGTCCTGTCCTCAGTTTTGTGTTTAGCACGACATGAATGACTTTTTACACTTATCATTGATTAATATGAAATACTCTTCTTATGGTAAGGGTTCATGGAGAAAAGGTAGCTGAGGTTCCATTTGTGGCCACCCGTTTCCAATACCGACGGCTTGGAATGTGTAGAATTTTGATGAATGTTCTTGAGAAGGTATTCCCTTCCCTCCACCCTTTGTACATATTCTTTTATACTGTTAGACATGTGTGACAATGGTAACATTGGGCACAGAGAAAATCACTTTCTTCACAAGTTATTTTATTTCATAAGGTGCTAAAACTTTGTGCCATGTGCTTCCAGAAACTAACTGAATTAGGAGTGGAGAGGCTAGTTTTGCCAGCTGCTACTAGCGTGCTGGACACATGGACAAGTTCATTTGGTTTCTCTGTGATTAATGATTCAGATAGATCAAACTTCTCGAATTTCAATATAGTTAATTTCTATGGAACAGTCATGTGCCAAAAGCTCTTAACGAGAACATCCATGGAGTTAATTGTCTTCACAGGTTTTAATTAATTTTCTCACCCTGTTCAAATCAAAGGTCATTGCCGAAACCATTCCCAATCTGACATTTCAACACATAATATGCAGAATCCACCCAACACATTTTTGGCAAAGCCGATAAGGAATATTCTGAATTGGATGGGACTAGTGCTGTTTCTGAGGTCGTCCAAGCTGAACAAAACGACAGGAGTGGCATCATCGACCAAGGACCAGTCGAGTATGTTCTTTTCCTTCCTTAAAAGATTCAATCTTTGCATAATTCAATGTTAGCTAATTATCTCTTATGCCCTTTCCCAGTACACCTGGAGGAACCACTACCAGCAGCAACAACCCAGCTCCCCTACTTGTGGTGCCGTTCTTTTGCTGAAAAAAAACTTCTAATCTCAACCTTTGCTGATTCTTTTTCTTTTTCTTTCCTTTTCTTTTTTTTCACTTGGGATTTTGTCTGTGATGTGCAGTTGAAACAAACGAGTGCTCCTGAGTTCCCAGCTCAAATGACTTTGACTGATGTTTCTGGTCGAAAGGAAGTTGGAAACGACGCAGGGGTTGGTTTCTTAAAATGCTACAAGAGGAGGAGGAAACTCTTGGCTGGAGAAGCTGAACTGTTCATGAAGGAGGTAACACCGTAACAGGTGCTTAACCATTTGGTTAATTGAATCAGAAAGTTGTTTTGAGCCAACCCAATAAAACATATGAGTTTCTGCTTTCCTGCAACCTTTTAAAATGTAAATGGTGTCGTCTCTATGGGAAGAAAGAGAGAGCTTTTGGCTCTCCAAACTCAATGTTTGTGTACAGTTTAGGTTAGTTGTCGATGCCTTGTGCCGCGGTGTTAGATCTTTTGGTGTACAAAAAACAAACAAATGGTTTCCCGGGGGCACAAACATGAATCAAGTTCTTGTGGATACCTAAAGCTCCATTGCATTCTCGATTCGTGCTTGAATCGGCAATCCTAATGCCTTCATAGCCTTAGCGGGTGAGGTAATTCATGGGACTATGGGTCTTCATATTAAGTGCTTGTTTAGCAAAAACTTAAGTGTTTTCAAAATTAATCTCTACTGTTGAAAAATTATCAAAAACGCTAATGTTAATTGAAAACTTTGTTCCCAAACAAGGCCTAATACGTTTCTCAATCCAAAAAAAGATGGATACAAATTGATTTTGGACACTGCAGTAAAAATCACAATTCTATACACTTGGACAAAAGACTATTTAATAACAATATTTAGCTTTTGTTTTTTTAAAATTAATTTATACCGTCCAAAAATTATTCATAATGTTATACGAGTAATTGAAAGTAAGACCGAATTAAAAGGAACTTTGAAAACAAGACCTTAGTGAATTAATAAAAAAAAATGAAATTATTATTTTATTTTATTTTGTTGCATCGTGAAAGGTTGAAGGAAATCATGTGCTAGAACATAAAGAGTTGAGGACCATGCGCAAAGGGCATGGTGGACCACTCACTATGTAACCCCATTCTGCTCAATACTACTCACTATTAGCCAATGGAAATATTCTAACACTCCCTCCAAAGGATATTTTAGTCAAGCAGGACTCCCTCAAATAAAAAAAAGTCAAAGACAATGGTTAGGGTGGGGGTGCTGGTTGAGGATAGGCACCAATTGGCGGTCACATCCGCACGCGATAGGGACGAAATACCGCCCCTTCTCCCGTGACCGTGATGGTCGTGATTCCCATTAAGGCCTTCACGTGTCCATCCCCCTCTCTTTCTAGTTGTTGCAATGGCTAGTTTTCCTTAATGATTATTATGATACCATTGGTCAACTAATTTTTGCAATTACACTAAAATATATAACACTAAGGCAACGTTCCGTTCAACTTATTTTTTTGCTTATTATTTATTTTTATTATAATCAGATCAGATTAGAAACAGCTTTAATATAACTACAATCAGGTCAGACCAGATCAGAATATCAGATCAGATCAGACAAGACCAGATCAAATCTTTAAAAAATCAGATGAGATCAGGTAAACGAAACGCAGCCTAAGATGTCAAGTCCGACATTGAAAATTTATTTTTCAAAGCAAGAAAAAAATAAAATGATATACCGTCGTGGGAATTAAGGAAGTGATTGGGTGCTTAGCTTGACTTTAAATGAAGCTTTTGGTATCTTTGTTGAAGTAGCCACAACCAATCGGACAAGAATGACATCAAATTTGAGTATGAGGTAAGACAATCAAAACAAGCCTTATGGTGGATGAGAATGAGACTCAAATTTGAGTTTTATAATATCCTATCATTTTAGTTTAATTACTCCCTAGTATTTAAATAGGATGCTAAAGTAATTCCGAGTGAAAACATCACCACCCTACACAAGCTTCTGGTGATGGATGTCAGGATCAGGTGGGTGAAACATAGGAGAGTTTCGAGTGGCAACACACACATCCGGTGGATGAGACTAAGTGGGGAGAATATCTCTGAGTTGATCAGGCGAGTGCAGGAGAAAGGGGCGCGGGAATCGGCCGGAGAGGCTGCTGATATGTGGACGCAGACTGCTAACTGCATCAGGGAAGCTGCCAGGGAAGTGCTTGGTGTGAGCTCTGGCTCAGGGAGTAGGCGGCAGGGTGATTGGTGGTGGAGCGATTCAGTCCAGAGTAAGGTGGAAGCTAAGAAGGTGGCATATTTGAGGTACATGGGCTGCAATGTTGAGGAAGAAAGAGCGGCGTTACGAGTGGAGTACAAGAAGGCACGTAAAGAAGCTAAGTTAGAGGTTACAAGGGCAAAGAATGCCGCTTTTGAACGCCTCTACAAGGATATTGAGGAGAAAGGCGGTGTTAATACACTGTTCCGGCTTGCTAAAGTGCGTGAGAGGAAGGCCCAAGATCTGGACCACGTGCGTTGCGTGAAGGGCAG